AAAAGCATTGGGCATTTAATGACTACACCTCTTGTAGCCACGGAGATAGGATTCACGCTACCTTACTAGACCTTTTTGTCACTGGTGTTTAGAATAGTGCTTCACGGTCTCTCTGCTCTTACCCTCCTCGTGGCTCAAACTCCATGATCCTGGGTACCCACGATATCGAAGAACGCATGAGAGATAAGAGACAACTACGATGCAATTTTATTTCCCACATATGAGACGTTAGTTTGAAATCATTCCATCGATCGCTTCAACAAATCCATAGGGTTGCAAGGATATCCCATGACCTTACTGAATTACTCCCACATGGTGATCGAACACAAGAATAAATCATTGAAGAACACATCAAGACGAATGCTTCATTGATAATATGTCTTACAATTGTTGCCGAACACGATACATGATTACAAGGTATGGGTAACTTGGGGATGAATGTTACGGTGGTGGTGATGGTAGTGGCTATGGAGATCGGAAATGGTGGCGGCTAGAGTTTGTGGATGCTACTAATGACAAAGATGGAGGTTTTGGTGATGCTCTAATCCGATTCTTGCGTTGGACTTTAATAAAAGTTAAGAGTGTTGGATGCCACGGTGCCGTGTGCGCCTCGTATGAGTGATGGTACGAGCGAGTGTGCTCATGACAGACACCGTCTTGTGCTCTGGACTGCTTCTTGTGCCTCCAACTTGATCTCTTTTATCTCCTCATTGCTCCTTTTCATATACTAGATGACCTGTTGTGCTAATTGGCGTAGAGACCAAACTACATCCTGAAAGTTAATTGAATTATTTGAAACTGCATGCTGCTGAGCTTGGCCAATTGGTCTGATCATCTCAGTTTGCGGTCCTTCCGTACTTCCTTATCCGTTTGGTATAAGTATTGTTTTACATGTCATTCGGTGTAAGGTTGCTCCTTCAACACCAATTCAACATGTGTAATAGCTGTAATGTTGATCATCCAATCATTATTATGACTCTCTCATAATAAACACAAGCTAGGGAGTATTTTGTTGGCATTGTTCGTAACTACCAAATCTGATGATCAACAAACTCTCAACAACAAATCCATAAGTTCTGCCCGGCCATCCAGACATCTCCCACACTCCATGGTACATGACGACAACAGCTCGCAGCCGCCAGATCAGCCGGTAGGCAACGCAGGGTACCGATGAATCAGGGCGCAACTGCAGTTCTCAAGATGATAAATACGCACCTGACTTTAAGGGTTCATATGTGTGACGTTTGCACCAACTGAACCTTACTCCGCATAGCCGGATGGACGACCCTCCAGACAGGCGGGTGCATGGCGACTAACCCAGGCGCCACAACCCATAGTTTGAACCCTGAATAAATTTTCAATCTCCTTCTTTTCCTCACTTTCAATTCCTAGTTCAGATTTATTTGCAGGCGCAAATTTGACTTTTCTTTTCCCACGGCAATTTTACCTTTACTACCATGGCAAATTTACCTGTATTGCCATGGCAAATTTACTTTAACATACATGGCAAAAAAATTCTTTTTATTGTTTGCATTGGCAATTTTTAAAATTTTGTTTTGATAGGTAAATTTGTATTCATTGACATGGCATTATTAGTTTTTGTTTGCCATGCCAATTTTTCATTCATTTGACATGGCAAATTTACCTTTATTGCCATCGCACATTATTTTAGCATACATTGTAAAAATTTCCTTTCTATTTTTGCTAGGGCAATTTTTACTTTTGTTTGCCATGGCAAACTTGTATTCATTGACATGAGTCAAATGTATGTTATTTCTTTTTTCTCTAACATGGAAAACTTACTACATGCACCATGGACAAACTTATTTTTTGTACTTTGGCAAGTTTAATTCAAGTATCATGGCAAAACTTAATTTATGAACCATGACAAGCATAATTCAAGTACCATGTCAAATTTATTTATCCATATCATGGATTTTTTTTCATGTTTTCTAATAAGCCACTAACAAGTTCTAGTACATTTAGCATATAATGGAATATTCGCACAACAAATGTATGATAATTTGATCTTCGTACCATTTTTATCTTTAGAGAACATGGCAATTTTACTTCTTTGTATCATGGTTAATTTACTTTCATTGCCACGACAAGTTTTATTTTCTTTTTGCCCTCACAAACTTTACTTTTTCTTTTCAGATGGCAATTTTACATTTACCACCATCGAAAATTTATCTTTATTGCCATGAAAAATTTACTTTAACATATAAAATTTACTTTAACATATATGGCAAAATTTTCCTTTTTTATTTTTTCCATGGCAATTCTTACTTTTGTTTTGACATGGCATTTTTACTTTTTGTTTGCCTTGGCAATTTTTCATTCATTCTACATGCCAAATTAGCTTTATTGCCATGGCAAATTTACTTCAACATACATGGCAATATTTTCCTATCTATTTTTTGCCATGGTAATTTCATTTTTCGTTTTCCATGGCAAATTTGCTTTCATTGACATGACAAATTTACTTCAAAGTACATGGCAAACTTTATTTCTTACTTTTGCGATGACATCTTCACCTTCATTGTCATGGAGAATTTAACTTTATTTGACATGGGAAATAAAGCTTCATTTTTGCCATGGCATTTTTGACTTCAACATACACTGCTAAGGAACTACTTTTTTGTACGTATCGTTTGGTAATCTTTCTTATCGTTTTAGTGCAATGGAAATTTAATGGTAATTTCGTTTCTTATAATTTTGGGATTTTGTTTCTGTTTTTGATAATTGCAAATTTTGCAACCCGGCAAAATTTTAGCTTTTGATAATGGCAAGCATATTTGTAAATATAAAAAAAATTCTTGGGGTCCAAAATATTTGCCTAGCGCAGCGTTGAAAGCATATTTTAGTTTATACTCCACACAAGATAATCACCCTGCAATGATGCCGAAATAAGAGGAGCGCGACAAAGGGGCTGCAAGTCAGCCCGAACCCGGCGCAATCGTGCAGCAAGGAAGCGACGCCCCCATGTGCAGCAGTAAAAGCTTGCGACCACACCGGCCAGCGGCCACTGCTGCTGCGTCGGTTGTCAGCCTACCGCTGCATGCTACAGCAAGCCACTGCGCCTCTGCGAAGGTCCTTCCATTGCTGATGCGGCCTCTGCTGCGTGTCTCTGCACCCTACCCCCGGTCGCCAAGCCGTTCTTCTGATTACTATTAGTGTTGCATTGCATTACTCCTCCCATTCCCATTCTCGCTATAAATACCAGCGTCCAGCCATTGGAGGCCCCATTCCATTCTGTTTAGCTAATACTCCTCCTACTCACCTCACCCCCTCCGGCCCCAGCTTTGCTTCTCTTCTTCTCCACCTACTGTGCCGCGCAAGCCCAATGGAGGTAAGTGTCAAGTGCGTATGTGTGAATCAGGAACCATCCAACAAGGATCGATCGGTCATCGGAGTAGCCGAGTAGGAGTAGTTTGAAGTTTCTAACTCAGCTGACTAAGCATTTGGTGGTTTCGGTTTTGCAGAAGGCGAGGAGGCGGCAGGTGCCGGCGTTCGGGGAGTGGAACTACTGCCACGGCAACGACGAGCCGCCGGCCGAGCGCTACGCCCCGGAGCCGGAGGACCGCAGCGACGTGTGGTTCAAGTACTCGCCGCCTCCGCACAAGCCGGCGCCCAAGAAGACGAGGAGCGACGTGGCTCGGGAGAAGCAGGGGAGGCGCGCGAGGGCGCCGGAAGGCGGCGGCCTGGCGAGCGCCACGTCCAGAGCCGCCTCCGCGTCCAGGGTGGTGCGGCCGGTCGACGAGGACCTGTACCAGGTGCCTCCGCCGGAGCTCGCCTCCCGCCGGTACCGGCCAAGACGGGTACGTACCAACGGCACGGCCACAGACTTGAATTGGCTCAGTATGGTTCGAAGCGGAGCTGACTTTCTCTTTGGTCGGATGACGCGTTTCTGCAGAAGAGGAGCCTGTGGATGGAGTGCCTGGGCCTCAACTCGTGCGTCGCCTGAACACTTGTGGATGGGGTGCTTTGCTGCATGCTCGTCCTTGACAATTAAGGAGTAGACCGATCGGCCGGTCGAATGCTAGCTGTGTGTTTTGTTTTGTTTTGTGATCTCTCCGGCTGATTATGGCTTGTAATGCTTTCTACTAGCTACTAGTTTTTGTTTCCAGCGCAAGTTGTACTCCAAGGCCAGCAGCAGGTCTGGTCTCGTGCCTAGGCTGGGCTGGGTCGATGTGTGGAGAGTATAGATTAAGACTGACGTTCTTTGAGGTTGTTCGTGGCAAGCAATCTGGGGCCTTTTGTTTACAGAAGAAATCAAACAATCGATTATAGTGGAAATAATCGGTCCATATGAACGTGATAGCTAGAGAGCTTAAGTACGAACGACCAAACATCTTATAGACGGCCTAGCCTTTGTACTCTTACCGTCAAAGTAGCACACACATGTGAAGATGGATACCCACAAATGAAAGATGAAGATAAAATTATAGTCTTCATCTCAAGCCCATTCTTCTTAGGACTACATAAAATAAACTGCCGCACCTGTTCAGCAGAAACCGTGCAACCAGCCAGGCGAATCCATATTTAACGGATAGCTTATGCTCAGAAATTAGATACATATAGGTTACTTCTATCACCAATTAAACAGACAGAACTAAAGGGAAAAGGTGATCAAACGCATAGATTAAAGCAAATTGGACACAAATTCATGCTGTTCACATTTAGAAATGATAGCAACAACATCAAAGTTGACAAACGATAAAGACAATGGTTCATCATAAATGGCTACCACACAGACAATCAATTAGGGAAAGGGTCGATTACAAAAGAGACTTAGGATGCGACTTTTTTGCATCTAAACTTGGACATAAGCATATGCTGGCCGAAGGTGACAATAGGGTGCTTCCCAATCTCCCATAGTCTTATCCTAAAACATGGAGCAAAAAGTTCAGAGTAATGAAAAGATTATCAATCTCAGACTGAACATCCAAATTGCGAAGGCTTACCCTTTGTCCCGATACACAGGGGATTTGAATCCCTCAGAAAAATTCGTCACAGATGGGCATGTCATCAAAGTTCCAAAGGTCCATGTTGTCGACGACATCGTTCTCCATAACAGGAGGCACCATTGAGTTGTAGGTGTTACTGTGAACAGGCGCACATTCTGCTCCTTCAGCAATAGTGGAAACGGGAGCCATGGATGATATATATGGAGTCTTGATGTCATACTCCCAGCCCAAGTCAGACCAGCCAAAACTGTTGCTTCCCTCGCCAAAGTACATGTTCATAGCAAGAGCTTCAACAGGGGCAACATAGTTCATCGTAGGAACAAATGGCACGTTATCAAGCTGAATAAGTGGTTGGTTTGATGCAAAGTCAGCAGATGGGTACATGAAAGCATTTGTGTTGGCAGGGTTGTTGACTGCTGGTGTGACGGTAGGTTCCTGTGTTGCGCTTGGCTTGGGTGCTTTAGGTTCCTGAACTGCCGGTTCCTCTGGAAAGTTAACCTTGGCCTTCTTGCCATGGATCCTGAGTGCTTGAACATCATAAGCTCTTGCGGCTTCTTCAGCACTGTTGAAAGTACCAAGCCAAACACGGACACCCTTGCTAGGATCTCTGATTTCAGCAGCCCACTTACCCAAGGGGCGTTGGCGGATACCCTTGAATTGGTTCTTTCTCTTCCTTTTTGCTGGCCTTTCTGAAGGACCATCAAAACAAGTCATACTCATGGTGCTTGAGTCATCTGCAATGGAAGATCAATGTCAATGGTAAGAGGGATCAATATAGACAAACTTCTCTCACAAAAAGTAAATAATTTCATCATGGACATAAATTTATATGTAAAATATATTGATCGTAATGAACACTGAAACGTGATGGGTCAATTCAGGTGAACGCATCATCAGTCACCCACAAATAAAATAAAAATCACAACTTAATAAAAATCCAGGGTACTGATAAACAAAACTCATGTTATAGACCTTTGACATCATTCTGCAATTATTAATCTACAAATTGCATTATAGACGATGCAGAATCAAGGATATATTTTTAATTTGGATTCAACGATTAGCAGAATAATCCTTTAGACTGATAAAAGAACCAAGTCTAGAACAATCCTCACACACACCTACAACCATTTAACAAGGAAACAGTTCAAGAGGCCAAGGCCACCAAGCAAAACGGAGAAATTTAACCCTTTATGCGGATTTTCTACCCCTTTTGACTAAATGGTGAACTTATGGATCACTATCAAAGATTACGAGTATAAATCACAAGATCGTCAACCTATCAACAAAAGTCGCTTCTCCAAAAGAAAGGAACGGTGTCGGAAACAACTTACCAACTGAACACAACACGGAATGAAAAAAAGCCTAACCCTGCACCGAAATCACTCCATGATAGCACATCCAATCCAAAATCTCAAAACAAACATGAGTAACGCGGCCGAAACATAGACTTCCAACAACACTCCTTACTTCTTCTACCTTCGTCCTAGTAACTACTCCCCCTCGTATTTTGGGTCATTTTTTACCATGATTTTAATTAATAAAATAATACTAGTTAATTATGTGGTCAAACTTTTACCCAACATACGAGGAGGCTAATAAACTCATACGAGGGTAGAGAATAGTCAATCGCTAAAAGTAAGGATACGTAGATTAAAAATTAGTCCAAGTGACCCAGGGTCGATACCATGGGAGAGGGGCCTCTTGATGGTGGCAAAGGGCTTGATCTCGACGACCTCCTCCTCGTCATCCTTCTCAGCGACCCCACCAGGCCCCAGCTCCAAGTCGGAGTCCCCGGAGTTGGCCTCAAACTCCTTGAACTCGGCATCAAAGTCCTCCTTGTCGTCGTCTAGCCTGAGTCGCCTGCGCCCACCGAGCCCTGTGAAGTGCCGCCCCACACCGTCGCTCCGTCGGGGCTTCTTCTTCTCGTTCCACAGCGTTGCCGCCATCACCTTCCGCGTCACCGCGGGAACCTTGGCGTCCGCAAGTTGCCGTCCGCCGCACATGGTGGCTGCTAGTACCTTGTCGCAGTCGTCGCCGGGGGAGGGGCCTTGCCGGAATATGTAAATGGGCAGACGTTTTAATAAAGCGGGGTGTCAAGGGTGGGTTTGGAGGGGGCAATGCCAGTCCCCTATATAGGTGGTGGCCGCGTGATTGTGCAAGGGGGCGTGCGATGGGGACCACGCGTCGGTGAGGGGCCGCGTGGCAGGCGGAAGGCACGACGAAGGTTCCTAAAGCGAACATTTCTACTTGGGGGAATCTTTATTTCCTCCGGGAATGAACAGATGGGTGTACTTTGACTTTCTTTCTTTGGAGCCAAGTCAATATTTATTAGGTAAAGTTGTTGTACTACAAACCTATAGTATGACTGTACTACTACTGTCATATACTCTTCGTCCGGGTTTATTGGATGGGTTCAACCAACCAAACAATTAACCAAAAATCTTCTCATAAATAATTATGTGTAATGCTAAGATCTTTGCAAATCACTCATAGCTAGTTACGCCATTTTTAAGTCAAGATTATACTACAAACCTTTAGTCTGACTGTACTACTACTATCGTACTCCCATGTCCGAGTTTATTTGATCGATTCATCTAACCAAACATTTAACCAATATCTTCTCATAAATGATCATATATAATTTTAAGATCATGCAAATAACTCATGGCTAGTTATTTCATTTGTTAGCTCAAGATTTTGTACTACACACCTGTAGTACGATTGTACTACTACTATCGTACACTCTTCGTCCGGGCGGGTTCAACCAACCAAACATTTAACCAAAAATCTTCTCAATAAATGATTTTGTGTAATGCTAAGATCTTTGCAAATCACTCATATCTAGATACGCCATTTATTAGCTCAATATTATACTACACACCTGTAGTATGATTGTACTATTACTATCGTATGGGTTCATCCAACCAAACGTTTGTACAATATCTTCTCATAAATGGTTGTATGTAATTTTAAGATCCTTCCAAATAACTCATAGCTAGTTATTTTGTTCATTAGCTCAAGATTGTAGTCCACACCTGTAGTGTGACTATATTATTAATGTTGTGCACTCTCCATGCATCCGGGTTTATTGAACGGGTCCATCCAACGGAATGTTTAACTAAATATCTTCTCATAAATGATTGTGTGTAATACCGAACGTTTAACCCAAAATCTTATCATAAATGATTGTGTGTAATGCTAAGATCTTTGCAAATCATTCGTAATTAGTTATGCGATTTATTAGCTTAAGGTTATACTACACACCTGTACTATGACTGTACACAACTATTGTACTCCCCCATCCGAGTTTGTTGGTCAGGTTCATCTAACCAAACGTTTAAGCAATATCTTATCATAAATGATTGTATGTATTTTAAGATCCTTGCAAATAACTCATAGCTAGTTACTTATTTTATTAGCTCAAGATTGTACTACACACCTATAGTACAACGTCATTACTCTGTCATACTCCCTCCATCTAGGTTTATTGGAGGGTTCATCCAACCAAATGTTTAACGAATATCTTCTCATAAATGATTGTGTGTAACTCTAATATTCTTGTAAATCACTCATAGCTACTTACTCCATTGTTCTCAAGTAAAAAGAAAGTTCCTTCGTTGAGTTACTAGCATGTAAGTTGTGTGCAATCACTAGCATTATTATGCGGCAGTTATATGAATTATAAGTTAGCATTGCAAAATTCTCATCAAATTCTTGATCTAACCATGTATATTGAGATTTAGTATTTCTTTTAACTTAACATAACATCGACCTTCTTAATATTCAACCAATATCTCCTTATAAATGACTTTGTAAATCTATAAATCACACATGTCTACCTACCGTCATATTATGTATGTTCGATCATTAGCATTACCATACGGTTAGTTCATGAAATCAGATGAATGTTGCAACTTTTTTCTAATGTGTTCATGATCTAACCCTGTATAAAGATTCTTTTAAATACAAAGTAACATGGAAATGTTGATTCACGACTTTGTGTGTCTTACTTGACATCGAGAAGAAATAGTTTTAGAGTAGTTTTGTTTCTTTGTGAGGATGTGATTGGACGATGCATGAACGAAGCATCAACTGTCGGCCAAAACATAGAATTTGCATAGCAAATCTACATCTGAGTTGTTTATACTAAAATAGCATAAAATTGTGTAAACCATACATAGACAAGTTTAATAGTATCCAAGAACTTCCAACATATTACGTGGCTACAACAATGTATGCTAGCTAACAATGGCAAAAAGTAACTTATCTAAACATATATTGAAAGCTTACCAACAAAAGCAAATATTTAACCCCCTCAAAAATTAACCATAGGCGGCTATAAAATTTTGTGCCCTACCTAAGAAATGAGAAAAAAAATGCGATTCTACAGTATCTTCTACAATAGACAAGGACAAAAAATAATCCTAATACATGGACTAAAACCACTTCCAGCGACATGGGGCCAATACCTTCGAGAGGGACCTCCCGACGATGGTGAATGGATTGATCTTGACGACCTCCCGTCATCATCATCCTCAGCCACCCCACCATGCCCGAGATCCAAGATAGAATCCGTGGAGTCGACCTCCTCCTCAAAGTCCACGTCATCTTCCTCCACCCCGAGCTCGACACCAAACCCATTGAGCCTCGCGGAGCGCAGGCCTCCGCCTCTATCCCATCGAGCCTTCTTCTTCTCAGGCCACAGTGTTGCTTAGGTCATCCTCCGTGTTACCACGAGCATATTGAGGTCCATGAAGATCACGCCATCGCACATGGAAGCTAGTACCTCGTCATAGTCACCGGGGGAAGGAGTCTCGCCTGAATTGGTAAATAGGTAGAGTTTTTAATGAAGCGGTGGAGCAGGTGTGGAGGTTAGCAGGTGGAGATGAGGACAACCCCTATATACACGATGGTCGCGCGATGGAGGCCCTTTGGGTAAGGGGGCGTGGTAGGACCATGCGTCAATGAGGGGCTGAGCGGCGGGCCGAAGGCACGAGGTATGTTCCGAAAGAGAGTGTTTCCATTGAGGGGAATCTTGCATGTTCGCCCCTTGAAAGAAGTGGTATTTCTAGTATTGGCCCTCAGAAATGAATGGATGGACAGTTGACTTTTTTTCTTTGGTACCAAGCCGTTTTTTCGATCAAGATTGTATGACAGCCCCCCCCCCCTTGAGAAAAAGGTTGTACGACACTCCTGTACTACCATACTATACTCGTACTGTTCTCACTAGCACCATCTAATCAAGACACTCAAGGAAGATCTCTAACTCATCATTGCAAATCACTCATGGCCACTACTCCATTGAGTGTTTTTAACAACTCTACTCCATTGAGTTAGTAGAATGTATGAGCAATCATTAGCATTGGAATTATATATGGCATTTATATGAACTAGACTATGATTGCGCATGTTGCTGCACCCGCTAATTTTTCCAGTCAAAGGGTAGAGACTTTAAATAAACATATAAAACATGGGAGATAACATAATATAGGAGATGAAAAATATTGGTTCCAACTTCAGACCGAAGTGTTGGAAGAAATCTAAAAATTTCTAGTACAATGACATTGCTATAACTTAGGCTAGCTAGTAATGAGAAGGTAAATAATATTTGCCATAAACTCGTATAAAATATGTAGTTGAAGGAGATTTAATGGTAACATAAGATCGAACTCAATATCATAATCCGTTGATAGCGTGTAATAACAGGTGCATTGGTCTATACATCCCCCTATTATGGATGTTCCTACAAGATGATACAAGGATCTGCTTAATAAAGTTAGATGTATAATGATAAGACAAATGTAAGTTGTTTAATAAGGGAGGAAGTGTGACAACAAAGATGAAAAGGAGGTGCGATGACAAACCCTATTAGCGAAGGAACATATTACAAAACTTGGCTGAGCGTATGAAAGACAGCTCAATTCTGTGTCAAAAACTCAAAATTGCAAGACTCACTTTTGTGTCAAGTGCAAAACATACAATAAATCTGACCATCTTGCTCCTCTGTCACCAAGTTTAGGATCTCCCATTATCAAACTATAAGAAAGGAACTAAAACCATTGAGAAGGTGTCCAAATCTAACTGGTGGATGGTTCACAGGTATATAAACAGTATAATTTGATGTAAACCAGAAATATTCATGGAGCTTTATTGGGTCATCGTCAACTTCATCTAGCGAAATTGATTAACTATTCATAAACATTTGTTTTTACATGGAGCCTTGATAGATACATGCAGTAGGAAGAAAATGACTATAGGAATTTAGAAAGGCCTACCACAACCCTTTTTTGGTTGCATCTATCCTTTTTTGTGTACTCACCATCCAGTTATTTTTGCTTTCCCTGCCTCAATCCTTCAAGCAGATAGTATGTACAAGCTTGAAGCTTCATTTCATACAACATGACAACATTATCAAAACTTTAATAGCACCTAGATAAGAATCAGGTCCAACCCTATTGAACAGTAATAGATCTAATTATCAGTTTTGGCTGAAGGTGTAGTTTACCCTTATTGGCCATTGGTGTCACGTATCTGGGCATGGACAACACCAACTTTGATCTGAAGAGTTTTCAGATGGTGATCCTGGTGTAGACTCTGAACATGTCCTATCTCCTAGGGATCAACCACCCTGCAAAACTTGTCGGCGTTTTAGGAACGGGGGTATCCATACTTGCCTGCCTGCGGCCCACAGCATGGCTCCACCAATGGCCCGGTACGGCCCACCTTTAGCATTAAGAACTCAAGACCCTCACGAGGGGCCAAGCCTCGCGAGGCGGACGACACCAAGACCTCCAGAAGGAGCGGCCTCCTCAGGCTGGCTCCTGACGAGCGGAGATCTCTATGCAAGCCTCACCTTGCGAGGTTCAGGTGACGTGAGCCATGACGACCAAGGCCAGGCGGGCGCCAGCGGGCATAGGGCAGCAGTTTCCTCTTTGGTGCTAAGGAGGCAAGCGCAGACATGGAGTTTTGAGGAATCAGCCAAAGGTTTCCATTCCCGTGCAAC